ATACTCGTATTAGCATGAGTATTAGCATTAGTACGTATCTAGGCATGACGATTCTTATATGAATATAAAAGGGGAACATGATTATTAGTATTCGTAAGAACATTAGTTTTCCTATACATTAATGCTAACTAATATTACTATGCATATTAGTATTGGCAAGAACATTAAAGTTCGTGTTCACATCAATTCTAAAATTGGTATTAGTACAGTTTTTTCAATATTAGGAGTAGATACTAGTAGTAGAATTAAAATTAGTATGAACAAAACATGCGTTGGTATTCGTCGGAATATGAAACTTGAGGTTACTCTTCGTATGAGTTACTAGTACTACTGAAAAACATACCAATGCTGATATTAATACGAATGCTAACATTCATGTATGAGCATGTTATTATGCACGTTCGCACTAGCCTTAGTGCTAATATTAGCATGAATATGAGTACTCCAAAAATGAGTAATTTCACGAATATGCATAGCCAATATTCATACTAGCGATAATACTAGCTATAGTATGTATATTAGTATTCGCATCAAGACTATTCATACAATGTACATGATTTCAAGTATTCTTGGGAACATCAGTATTCATACTAGCATACTATCAGTTTCACCAGTAGTATTACTATAAGTATTAGTACTCGTATGAGTATTATAGTTTTCAAAGTTTTCAAAATAATATCAATATTACTACAAGTATCAGTTGCACAGACACGTCAACCGGCGACGTCGCGAGGTCGAGTTCCCTAAATTCTCTAATCACTGCTTCCATGCTTCGAATTTACAGAATGCGTGAGTTCCTGCAGACTCCCTAAATCCCTAAAGTCTTTACATACCCTAATTTCCAGCCCCATGTGTTGGTTTTAGCGCATTCCCTAACATTCCTGACTCCCAGCCCGGACCATGTGTTGGATTTAGGGAATTCCCTAAATTCCCTAAATTCCCTAATTCCCTACCCCATGTGTTGGATTTGGGGAATTCCCTAAATTCCCTAAATTCCCTAAATTCCTTAAATTCCTTAAATTCCCTAAATTCCCTAAATTCCCTAAATTCCCTAAATTCCCTACCCATGAACGGAAACCATTGAATCTGCTCCATGGGGGTCAGACTTAGGGAATTTAGGGAATTTAGGGAATTTAGGGAATTTAAGGAATTTAGGGAATTTAGGGAATTTAGGGAATTTAAGGAAATAGGGAATTCCCCAAATCCAACACATGGGGTAGGGAATTAGGGAATTTAGGGAATTTAGGGAAATACCTAAATCCAATGGGTAGGGAATTAGGGAATTTAGGGAATTCAGGGTTGGTCTTGGGGGGGGGGCTAGCATATATATATATATATACACACACACACACACGCTTACATACCTACATACATACATGCATACCATGGCATGCACATCTACATTCCGAAGGGTTGCATCTGTCCAGGCTGCTGCGAGGCGTAGGCACATTTAGTCGCAAACTTCCCTAGCTGTCCGGATATGTAACACTGCTTTCTATTGTTCATGATGGTACGCAAAGGGCACTTCAAGTGTCGCCTCGTGATGTCGATCCCATACAGGAGGAGGAGTGGTACACTGCCCTGACGCCACCTGCTCGGAGGGCCAAGGATGAGATTCGAAAATCCGTCTTCTTTGTCAGCGATGGGGCTCTTGGAGTGCCCAAGCCGACGGATCACGTATCAAGTAACTGCTGCTGAGGCACTGGCTTTTCAGCGTTTTGAAGTCGCTGTTCAGCACGATGCGCCCGTTCAAGAGCCCCTCGGTCTGCACGAAGATTTGGAATGTGAGCCGGAATGGAACGCGAACCGTTTCCAGCGCCTTAGACCCAGGGCGTTTGAAGGCATCGTTCGCCAAGTCTACGTCTCTCTCTCTCTCTCTCTACCAGCTCCTGTGCGACACGCCATGATTCTGCAAACAAAGTGTGAGCACTTGTGGTCGGTCAGTCGGCCAGCAGGACGCCTGCTTTTGAAACCGAGTTTTCATGCCCCATTTGCGAGGCGAGTACGTTCACCAGGCGCGGATGAAGATCTGTGAGAAGGGCATCTCGTGACTTGAAGTTGCACTTCTTTGCGCTGCGACCCTGGCGAGTTGGGAATCGGCTTACTTCGTTGTATGCGCTCCGTTCAGAGTGCAACCTTGTCGTCGTTGTCGGTGAGCGGCTGTTTGGCCTTTTGGGTTGCAAGTATGTTATGGCATAATGTAGCATAGTGCAGTATAGTATGGTATGAGATGGGAGGAGACGGGAAGGGATAGCATAGGACAGGATAGTATAGTATCTAGTAGGGTATCCTATGTTATCTTCGTCCCATTATATTATATATAGTGTAGTGTGTTGTAGTATACTATATCGTATCTGATAGCATATTGTATGTCCCGCGTCATGCCTTGTCTTTGGACAGGCGGATGTCTCGTTCTACATGGTCTGTCGCAGTTTTGACCGGGAGAAGTTCGAGATGCACAACTGGGAGGCGCTTCATTGGAGCTCAACTTTCGGGAGGTTCGTGAAGCTAGCCCAGGAGGCTCCGAGAACTTCGGATTCTAAAAGAAAAGCCTCAGCCTTTCTCTTGAGAAGTGCAAAAGAGAGCACGGGAGTGAACAGTTGTCTCCCAAGACCTCGCGCTCCAGATCTTCTACTATAGGGGCCTACATCATTACCTGTACTTATACTATTTCGGCAGTTCCTTATTTATGAGTATAGTATAATGGGCCCCAGAACGCTATTCTAACTATGAAGGCCCCTCATGCTACGAACCCTGGCGCGCCCCGAGCGCACTGAAAGGCGAAGCTCCAGAGAGCCTACGATGAGATCACCAACTGCCAGGCCAGTTCCCTGGAATTTCAGCGTAGTTGGGAGTTTCCGGAAATACGGGATACCCTATAGTTTGGATCCTTATAGTTTGGATCCTACTATTTAGGGTACTATATTAGGGTCCCCTGTTATATTCGGAAACCCCCATTTCAGGGCCTTAGCAAATACAAGCTGATGCTGCTTCTTCGGGCTTTTGGGGCGCTGGTGATACTTGTACTCTGATATATCTCAAACTCAGACCTCATGTGTTAGGCCCCTGCATTGCCTAGTCTTCTGCCACAAGCGTACCTGAGGCCTTCTGCACGTTGCAGTGACGGCTGTGTGAAGTTCTTTCCACAGCAAGCGCCCCCCATCATGAACTTATGCTCGAAACCTGAAATCTTGAAGCCAGGCGCTTCGAAACCCAGCCCTCAGCGTAAAGCCCCTTCAAACCTCCAAGTGCCCTGAAGCGAACTACTGCCTGCGGAAGGATGAAGCCTTGTTGGTGGCAGGTCTCAAGGACGATATCTTGATTGCTTCGGGGTTCAAGCAAGCAAAGTGCAAGACATCATAAGGCAACACACAGTGTTACGACATGGCTTACCTGGGTTGATCTGGGTTTGTCTTTCGGGGGTCGGGGTGTGCGAAGTGAAGGCTCCCGAACCTAAAGAAGCCTTGAGCGCCCTGGCCTGAGAAACTGAGGACCTCGCGTAGCAAGCCGGAAACAAGGAAAGCCGAAGATCAGAAAATGAAAGCCCATTCCATATTAGTCTCTCTTCTGGCCTCTGCTGGGATTCTAGAGCAAAGCACCAGAAGCCTGGCAATCGCTCAGAAGACCCTTCCAGGAGGCTCTCAATCAGGGGGTCAAGGCTCGGTGTGGCGAGGGTCTGTGTGCAGCCCGATGCACCCACGCGAGGGTCTGTCTGCAGCACGCTGCACCCACATGCATGCATATGGGAGTTTCCGAAAATAGGGGATCCAAATATAGTATCCTGAACAGTAGGATCCTTATTATAAGGACCCCAAATATGAGGAACACCCTAATTTTGGGAAGCTCCCATATGTTGTCTCTTTGTGCCGAGCCATCTGGCCGATCATGCAGGAGGCCGAAACCTTTAATCAGAACTCGGAATGTGATGCATGCCCGAATCCTTATCTGAGCCCAATAGACCCCAACCCTCTCAAAAACTCCAATGTGGTGTTGAGAAGTCCTACCGTCCTTTTCGAAGCCGGCCATGGCTGAAAGAGTGATTTCATGGTCTGTCAGTTGCGAAGCACAGACGGTCTTCGGACAGGAAGTTAGAGTGGTGCGCTCCACAAAGGAGTTGGGACACTGGAACCCGGCCTTGGCGCCGGCACTCAAAACTGACGCTTCGGCATACCCTAAGTGGTTCGGTATTGTTGAGTGCCGGGCATGCTTGACGGAGTACAAGTTCGTGATTTTCGATACACGAAATGGCAAAACATAGCCCTCGTGCTGAAGTTGAAGTCAAAAGAATGAAGATGAGCCCAAGCTGCTCTGAGGAGGGTCTCACCGATCATACAGTTCCAGGCAGTGGAACTCCATGTCGTCCACTTCGACGCTGTCTGTGCTGAAACCCAAGTGGGTGACACTCTGGTGCTAGTGGGCTCCTGCGCGGAGCTTGGGGACTGGAACCCCATGCACGGGCTGAAGCTCTGCACCTCGCCCGAGGCATTCCCTCGTTGGAGGGGCACAGCCCATCTGAACACAGCCGACATTGAATACAAGCTAGCAATCATCAATCAGCACTCGGCAAGATGGGAGTCAGGAGCAAACAAACAGCTTCGGTTGCCTGCTGGCAAACACGGCCCCTGGCAGGCCTGCTGTACGTGGAACAGCAATCATTGCCAACTACAGCCATTGAGTACCATAGATGCTGCCTGTGTAGGCAAGAAGAACAAGGAGGATGAGGATAAAGCCCCGGTGAGGGCCCCTTCTGCAGAATGTGACAAGGAGCTGCTGCCGTGTTTGGATGGAGTCGTCCTCCCAGATGCTCCGAAGCCCGCTTCCCCCGAGGAAGGATCCAATTTGCACCTGTGGGGCGGATCACACTCGATCCCGAAGTCTCACGGTTCCAACGAGGACGCCTTTTTTGTCGATCCACACGGCCTCGGTGTCGCCGACGGTGTCGGCTGCTCACAAGTCACAAGCATCATGGAGTCGACGCGGCAGCGTACGCTGCGGACTTGATGCAGCACGCCTGCCTGGCTCTGCAGCCCGAGGGCCGGGCCTCAGAAACGGTGATGGGCGTCGCAGAGCGCGCTGCCCTGGCCGTGGTAGAAGCCGAGTCAAGAGCGGTGGCTTTTGGTGGCTCTACCATTGCTGTGCTGTGCCAACATCAAGCACAGATAGGAGTCGCCAACCTAGGCGACAGCGGCTTCGTTCTTCTGCGACGGGGAATGAATGGAATGAACATCATCAAGAGATCCCGAGAGCAACAACACAGTTTCAACTGCCCACACCAGCTCACTCACTTACCTGAGGTGCTTAGGTCTCCAAATAGTGCCCTTTTGCTCTTTGTATTTTGGGATGAATGGTGGGAACACGGCACCCCCTAGTAATCCGTATTATAACGTGCTATTGGGGAACCCAGGCCCTGTTGAGACGCATCCCGAAGGAGAAGCTCGCTGAAGCCGACACGGCCAAAGACTGCGAGAGATATTGTGCAGACATCGCAGAAGGTGATCTCGTCCTCATGTTCTCAGACGGTTTCTCAGACAACATCCACGATCACGAGCTGCTCCACATCGTTGACAAGACACTGCCGCCAGCCCATGCATACATACCTCCGGCTAGCATCGCAAAGGCCCTGGCCTTGGCTGCCCAGGAGAGATCAGTGGATGCAACGGCCACGGTGCCATTTAACACAGCCGCAAGGAGCCACGGTTACGAGTCCCTTGGCGGCAAGGAGGACGACATCACCGTCGTAGCGGCGTGGGTGGTGTCTGCGAAGTCAGGGCTCAGTCCGAACACTGCGGACAAGCTTCTGAAGGACTTGCACACCACAGAGATACCTCGCGAAGAGTGCCCTTCCCAACAGCGGCACACACCAGAGCTTGCGCGCACACTTTTCGAGTCGAAAAGACGCACCCGAGATGGGGTGCTGGCTAGCGACACCAAAAACGAGCGGTGTGGGTCAAGGGGGCCATTAGTCTTCCCACGGAGCTCCTCAAAGGCCGTGTAGGCCACATTTCAGATCGAAGGAAGCGGAGCCGGTTGAACAGGCGGCACAAGAAAGGCAGATTATAGGTATGATGATATAGGGACTATGAAGGGGTTTGGATCACAAATCATCCTTGATCTTGGCACAGTTCACTGGCCTCGCAACATCTGCCGGCTTGAGGCTCTTAGCATTTTAGTCTTCGGAGCCTTAGACTGAGATCTTCCTGGGAGCTGCTGAGCCGCACCCTATCATGGGCCCGTGCTTTGAGACCAAGGAAGGTTGGGAACGAGGCTGCAAATGCCACAATCTCCAGGTAATTCTGGGCTTTGCCGGGGTGGTCTTTGCGGGTGCATGATCGGGTGCTACGGTAGGACGCCCCCCCGAAATTCGAAGCAGCGCCTTGGGGCGCTGCTGGAACAGCTTCGCCGGTATTGTAAGTTCGCACGTGTCGTTCATCCATCTTTGGAGTGGCTGGAGTTTAAGTACTGTATTTGTACAGTGTCTGAGACCGTTTCCATTCTGGAGGCAAAGCCGGCTCGAATTCGGATTCCGTAATGGTATCCAGAGCTGCCGTCGTTTCAGCAGCATGCAGAGATGGGTGCAAGCCTATAATGCATGCATCCCGAAGGGATCATACGCTGAACGATTGTCTAGAAAGAACCAGCACTGACAGCGCATCGATATGCTTTTCTGTGGTTCGAGGTCGCTCTTGTCTGTGGAACGATCTCTGTGCTCTCAGATTCTGGCGCACTTACTTGTAGTGCGACCGTTCTGATGTGCCCAGGGCCCCGGTGTCAACCCTTAACCGGATCCTTGGAGGCGATAGGTTGCCGTGTCGCTGCCTCCTCAAGAAGTGATATGCAGCGCCATCAAGCGCCCAACACAATCTACAAGCAATAATGGAGTCCTGTAGGGGTTGGCTTGGGTTTGCGGGTTCATTGAGACAGCGGCCAAGAAGATCCCATTTGGGGAGGCGGAGATTGACGAGCTTCTCGAGTATGTGGGGCGCATGCGTGCCATCGGCATCCAAAGCCGCAAGGCGCCCTTACCGATGCTTATACTTCGGCCGTGTCCTTGCAGCTGGTAACATTGTACAAGGTTCAGGGTTTAGGGTTTAGGGTTTTGGAGTTTGGGGTATAGGGTTTTGGGTTTAGGGGTTTAGGGGTTTAGGGTTCAGGGTATAGGCTTTTGGAGTTTAGGGTTTAGGGTCAGGAAAAGTGCCAACATCAGCTATCGTGAGCCGGCAACTTCAACTCGCGAATCCTCGCCTGCCGCAAGAAATATCGGGGCCAAACGACGATTAACAAACGATTCTGGTGTTCTTTGTTATTCCAGAACCAGGTTTTGGGCTTCGTCGCTGTGAGTTCCAAACTCCTCGCGGGGAAAACGGGAAAGCCAGGTCACCAATCCGAAGGCCTTCTCGTGGGCGAAGCCACACCCTCAGTGCTGTGCCTCCCGGCTTGGGGGTCTCGGGGTGTGGTTTCTGGGAATGAGTGCCTCGGGCAAAGACCTTCCAAAAGTAGACTTCGCGGTACCGGCCTAGAATCCGCTGAATCTCAAAGGCTCGTAGCCGGCCTGCAGAACCAATGGCTTCAGCAACTGCGGACTTCTGTATCGAAAGGTCGTTTCCCGGCATCGAGCGGCCTATAACCCCAAAATAGTAGGCTTCATATAAGGAACCCTCATAAAGGCCCAAGGTTTCTTAATCAGGTTCCTACATTAGAGCCCCATTGCTTCCGCAACCGTGACCACACTGAAGCCCGCTGCTCGTCCATCCTGCCAGGAGCGGAGACGAGAAAAGCGAGAAAGAGAAAAGCAACCCCAAGGAGGACAGTGGGGCATGCAGGGTTTCGTTGCCAGGTTTCGGGGTATAGACTTCGCCGTCAGAGGCTGCCCCAAGCTTCTAGCCTCAAGATCAGTGTTCATTCGAGCCTCTGGTTGGGAAATTCAGAGCTGCGGTCCGCAATGAAGATAGGCACATGTAGCCATATCATGAAACATCTACCGCTAGTCGAGAGATTCTGAGCCTCTTCGTGTTTCGCCCAAGCCCCGAAGCTGCCATCGCCGGAGTCGCCTCCATTCTGCCTACGTGAGAGTGCATGCTGAAGTACACCCGGTGTGGGCTTGCTGAGTCGTTCATGCATGCATGCATTCATTCCTTCCTTCCCTCCTTCCTTGCTTTCGTTCGTCATCCATTCATTCAGTCTTTCATTCGTTCGTGCGTTCGTTCATTCATTCATTGATGAAGGTGTGCGCAACCGCGCAAGCGTTATCACCCACGCCTGAAGAATAGCCGCACAGAAAGAAGTCGACCAGCAGGAGGCCGCCAAATTTTGCCAGAGAAAAGCCATCCAGAGACACCACCATGTTACTATTAAGAGCAGTAGTATACTAATACAAATACTAATACTAGTACAGGATTTAGGGTTTAGGGTTTAGGGTCTAGGGTTTCCACTCAAGTGCACACTCGACCCTAGCAACTCAATACATCCGGAAAGCAGGTCTGTACAGAGACCACATCCAAACCGCATGGGCTCGCATGAGTCAGTTCTGGACATAGTGGAGCCCACGGTCCCTGGCAGGATCCATCCCTGCCAGAGCCGGAGAGTCAAGAGAAGCTTTGCACGGAAAAGGCCGAAGACACAACCAGAATAAGCATGCAGCATGCTTCTGTAGTTTTCAGTCTTTCCAGTTCAGCTAGTCAGGTCATGCGCATATTCAAGAATGACAGCAGGTCTGCTCGGCATGATCATCGGGACGGGAGGTTAGAATTGTAGGACTTATCTTTGCTACTATTGCGGCTAGCAGCATCATCACTATTAGCAGCAGCAGCAGCAGCAGCAGCAGCAGCAGGAGCAGCAGCAGCAGGAGCAGCAGCATCAACAGCAGCATGAGGACCAGCAGTAGCAGTAGCAGTCAGTAGCGGCAGCAATAGTGGCAGCAGTACTCTCAATCGAGAAGGTGCAGGTGACGAACCCGAAATCGGACGCGAGCACCGAGCTCGAGGAACGAAGCCGGGCTCCCTGACTCCGGCTTTTCGGCCTGTCGGCTCAGGATTTGGGATACCTCTCAGCAGACTTGTGAAGATACAGGGCCCTCACAGACCCCAAGTCAGTGTGGTCGTTACTTGCCTAGGACTCTCAAGCAGGTATCATGTATTACTGGTGAAAGAGCTCCACGCACAAATCACACCTACATCCACTCTCTCACTCTCTCCATCGTTTTTTCTTCTTCTCTCTCTCTCTCTCTATGCACACACGTATGTGTGAATGTATGTATGCATGTATGTATGTATGTATGTATGTGTGTGTGTGTTTGTGTACTTATGTATGTATTTATGTATTTATGTCTCTACGTCTCTACGTATATATGTCTCTGTGTATCTATGTATCTGTGTATCTGTGTGTCGGTGTGTCTTCGTATCTATGTGTTTGTGTATATGTATATACTCATGTAGGCGGAAGAATAAAACACATACTGTAATTGCACGGATGGTCCTGTTCTTGACGTGTCTATGTGTTCCCAACCATCTACACGTCAACCTGTCCGTCCGTCTTTGTGTGTGTGTCTCTCTGTCTATCTGTCCATTTACCTGTTTATCTATCTCTCTATTTCTATCTATCTATCTACCTGTCCATCTGTCTATCTATCTGTTTGTTTGTCTATCTGTCGGTACATACCTGCAAGTTTGCAAGCATGCATGCATGCACGCACGCATGCGTACGCACGTCAATACATTCAGGGCATGCCTGCATGTATGCGTGTATTAATGCATACGTACCTACTTACTTACCTACCTACATACGACCTACATTCCTGCATACATACTTACTTACTTACTTGCTTACTTACTTACTTACTTACACACACACACACACACACACGCACACACACAGAGTAGTATACGTACTTACTTGCATAGATTCGTATATGCGTTGTATTCTGCACTACATCACAGTACATTACACACCAGCACACGACATTACATTACCCTGCAGTAGATACATTGCATTGCATCAGTACATGGATCACATCACATTGCATTACTACCTGCCTACCTACTCACCTACTCATCTACCCACCGGCCAGCCTGCTTACCTGCCTACCCACCTACCCAATACCTGCCTAATACCTACCTAGTACCTACCCACCTGACCTGCCTTTTCTGTTCCTTCCTGCCCGCTGTCCTACCTAACTACATACAGATACATTCAGAAAATATACATAGTGTGATTTACAAACACATACATGTTTACGTGTATACATATACACATATAAACACGAAGCATATATATATATATATATATATGTATATATGTATATATATATATGTACATATATATATATGTATATATATATATGTATATATGTATATATGTATATATGTATATATGTATATATATATATATATATATATATGCCAGCCTTCGCTCACGTATCCACGCGTTGTGCGTGAACCGTGTGGGATTGTCGTCGAGCCCCTGCAAACCTTTCCCGTGAACACTCTGCACCTCCCCTTGTCTTATCTAGTCTGATTAAAGGGCTGGCTAGGTGCATTACCTCTTTGATTCACTCAGGGTAAGCTGCTATTCAGACTTCTTGCCACTCGCCAGATCCTTTAGTGTAGATGTGTTAATTGTTGAGTCCTACGTTTAATCACATTCGGGTGACATATAGACTTGTCAGCATTTTTGCATTGAATAGTCACACCCGCGCTGGCACGATATACCAACATACACAAGCACGTCTAACCGACTGATTAAGCGAGGTTGCTACTGTGTGTATCTAGATCAGCTGAGAGCTTTACATGTTTAGTCTGACTTTAGTTCATCTTAAGCTTGTGCATCATTTTCGTCATGTCCATCCTATCGAACTGCAGTTTTTTTTGCAAGAATCTTTTACACATCTTGCGCACCTAACGCATGATGACCACTAAATAAAGGCTACTGAGTGGCAGAATTTTGATGTGAATTGCTTGTATTATACTGGATATAAGGTAAGCCAGTGCAATTTCGGCATAA